ATAACATTACGACAAAAGACGTCACAAAGACAATACAAAAATTATTAAAAACAGTTAAATATTCCAAAAAATGAAACAACATTACGACAAAAGACGTCACAAAGACAATACAAAAATTATTAAAAACAGATAAATATTCCAAAAAATGAAACAACACTATGACAAAAGACGTCACAAAGACAATACAAAAATTATTAAAAACAGTTAAATATTCCAAAAAATGAAACAACACTATGACAAAAGACATCACAAAGACAATACAAAAATTATTAAAAACAGTTAAATATTCCAAAAGACAATATCACACTATGACAAAACATCTACATCAACAAATTTGATGAAGGAAGGCAATATTAAAGAAAATTAAAACGAACAAGGTAATGAAATTGGAAACTTCCAATTCAAATATTTTACACAATAGACAATGTTATATAGAAAAATTGATGTTCAGATTTTGTCAACTATGATCAATTTCTTATACCCTTTCCACTATTATAATACAATTTAGTAAGTTAATTTTTAAATTACAGACATGAACAGCCAATGAAAAGGTTAAACAAACAACTAAAGCTTTTTTAGAAGGTATACACCCAAACTAGCAAACCCCTTGACAGGTGAACCTTTATATAATAAATATGAGTTGAAAATCAATGCCATTTAAAAAAAAAGCTAATTTTCACAACTATAACTGAGACGATGCCTAGCATATGAGGCACTTCACATAATAATAACTCATTACCGTCAACAAAGATAACAGCTAAATAAAAATGCCAAAATAAAAGTTATTAATCTTCATACTTACTACATTTGGATTATACGGTGGAGAAATTTGTCGTGCCTCTAGTTCTACCCAATTTACAGTTTTGAAAAATTCGTGATTTTTAACATCTTCTACATCATTCTTTGACCCTAGTCTCCTGTCTTTGTTCTTCTGTAGCAACTGATTCAGTAAGATAGTAGATGAAGATGTTATGATATAATGAACATTTGAGTTTACATTAACAGAATATCCAACAACCATACAGTAAAGTTATGTTATTAGGGTATCTGGATACATGAGTGTAAACACTTATTTGGAGAACCCAACTTGTACAAAATTAAACTTTAAACAGAAACAAGCCACTGCTATGTTTGCTACATGAAATATGTCATGTTAAGAAAAAGTGTTTTCTTCTTAACCTTCTTGCTATGGACTCGGTGGATTACACCAACCTCGTGACCACAAATTAAACATCAGTTTCCATATAATAACTTTTAACATGTTTTATATGTCTTTCTTCTTAACCTTCTTGCTATGGACTCGGTGGATTACACCAACCTCATGACCACAAATTAAACATCAGTTTCCATATAATAACTTTTAACATGTTTTATATGTCTTTCTTCTTAACCTTCTTGCTATGGACTCGGTGGATTACACCAACCTCATGACCACAAATTAAACATCAGTTTCCATATAATAACTTTTAACATGTTTTATATGTCTTTCTGGAATTTTTATAAGCTTTTAGTAAACGTTACCAGTCTTTTGTTGACAAAAAAAATCAGAATTTTTAATGAAGTACTTTAACTAAAACTTAGCCCATGAATATATGGAGACAAAGTGTTGACTGCTCCAAGTGCAAAGTGATTTTCATGTTAAGATTAAAAATACTTTTCTTTATCTGATATCTTTAAAATTTCATTTGTGTAATCTCTGAAACTTCCTAAATAAATATCAAAAGTTTATATTCCATCTGTTATTTTCTCTACCCTAACTCTATACTGGGTCAGTCAATTTGAGTGACCTCATAATCACCATTAAAAAAATAAAGGAAATAAATTACCCACTCTTTCTTTATAGAATGACCACAATTTGTAACAGGTAACTACAACTATTTATCTTAAGTAACGCAAAGCTCATAACAGTATACATATATTTACACTTAACTTCATTGTTTTATTGCCCTTTGGACTGTGTCTAACTAATAATCCTGCCACACAAGTTGTAAATCACTTGGCAAATGTGCAGCTCATGTCAACATATTGTATTACGTAATGCTTGGAAGTATACCTCATGAAAGTTTTTATTATTATCACTATTTTTCATTATCTTACATAATCTAACCTTACCTAACAAGTTTCTAATTCTTACATTTTAGTTACTTTTACAGTAATAGATAAACAATACACGAGAAATAAGAACTGTAGCACATACCTTAGTATTGTTTTTTTTTGCTTTTGACTGTTGCTGAAAATTAAGTCTACTATTTTTATACTAATGGTACTAATACATTAAATACATTTTATTTAATTATATAATGCACCTTGGGACACAGATTAATAAAATACACAAAGCAAGCAATGTCCTATAACAATTATAATATTTTTGCAATAAGAGCTTTTACAAATTCAGCTAAGTTTCTCCATGTGATTTGCATGGAAAAAGATGTTTTGAACTAGAGAAGAAATAAACAATTCTCTGTACAGAAAACACAGTAAAATACATCATTTGATTGATTAAAACTTTGGCTTTCTATTGGTTATAAATCATACAGTATTAAACATCAGGCAGAGCTGTTGGCAGTTTGTGAAAAAGAGAATGTGACAGGTGGGTGTGGCAGGTGGGTCTGATATTCTAGTTTGTGGCTCCATAAACAAATAAGATTGAAAAATATAAAAATTATGCTTTGCCTGGGTAATATCTAAGTTATAATGAGTAATTTATGTTAAATTCGTACATCTCAAAGGGATAGTAAATAAATTAAAGAGCAAATTTCAATTCTCATACAAGGGGAGACGGAAGATTTTTTAAACATTTCCTTATAATATTATAAACTTAAAACTTATATAATATTAAAATCTGATTTATTAAGTACATTTTAATACAAATGTGTTCATATATAATGATAATAAAGTAATTTAATTACATTTATAATGTAACTAAAAATTTGTGACATGCGCACTTAAACTGGCCCATAGCAAAAGGGTTAATCAGTTGATAAATACAAAACTATAGTAATTTTATTTAAATGTTTTGAATATTTCATAATACACTTTGCTAAAGACAGAATAATCATACTCTGAAAAATTCAATTCCAGCAAATAAAAAACATTTCATCTTTATAAGTGTGTGTGTGACTTCTGAATAATTTCATTAAATGAAACAGGTAGAAAACAACATTTTGACTAACAGTTACAACTGGGCAATTACATGTTTTATACTGAACGAAAAAATACCACTTACAAATATGATGTGAAAATAGGCTGAAAAAGTAGAAGATATGACTGAATAAAATGACTCAGCGGATCATCATGTTTGCATGATGATAACAGTTTCTTTTGTCATGTATGCCATATTATAAAAGTACATTTTGTAATCACCATCATACTGTATTGTATTTTTCTGTATTTATGGCAAAGTTACTATGACTGCCATGTCTAGAATTTTGAATAACTAAACAAAGGGAAGGCGACCAGTAACCAACACCCTATTACCCAATATCCACCATAAGAGGTTGACTGTTGCTCTTATAACGTACCCACAGTGTAAAGGGCACAAAATATTTTGTGATATCACACAGATTAAAATCTCGCTTGTCATATCCAAAACCCATAGCTTACCACAGGGCCAACCCTTTCCCAACCACCCTATGTCAAAAAAATTTTTTAAAAAGTTTGAATTTTCATTAAATGTTTCTGACACCCACTTTGGAATTAGTGACTGATGAAGTTATCTAAAGAAAGTAATGAGACAGTAAAAACACAGCAGGCCAACTTACTGCTTCAAGAATACTTCTGGCTTCGATAGATATGTTGGTCCTTAGTTTTAATGGTTTATGTAGAATGTTGTCATACATTTCTGCAGTATCTCGGCTGTAGAAGGGAGGCTAGGAGTAAGAGAAAACAGAATCATACTTGATTACAGCATAAGTAAACCAACCGAGAGAACTTATCCAAATTATCCATTAATGATTATCTCATTACTTCAAGAAAACACAGTCATACCATAAAACTTTATGAGGAATATCTTTACAATCTGACCTTGTAATGCAAACATTCTAAAGACAAATAAGAAAAGCATTCTCCCATGGCAAATTTTCATGGTATTAAACATTTAACTGAGTTTCAACATTCATCTACTATTGATAGTTTTGATATTAAAAACTGATCCTGTTTATCCTCAAAAAGTTTCCAACTCTTTTGACAAGCAACTGTTTCTGATACAAACCTAAAAACCTCTATAACTAGTAAGTACTGACAGTCCTCTGTATTTTACAATAAAAAGTGTTAGGATGTCTTGAACAATTAAAAACACAGTGTACAATACTCCCATATACAGAAATATAAGATTCACCATGAAACACTTATTTTCAGTTGTATCAAAACATTAATATTTTTTATAAAGTTTTCTTTATTCATAACTTATTAGTGAAGTTTGTTTCAGATAACCCTAATTCAATATCACAACTGATTAACAGCTAATGTACTACTTACCAGCCCATACATCATTTCATACAACACAGCTCCTAAACACCACCAATCTACAGACTTGTCATATGCTTCCTTCCTTAAAACTTCTGGGGCTAGATACTACACAGTTTTAAAAACAGATTTATATGTTTACAACGTAGAACTGACATAAACACCAAGGAACAAAATAATAATTAATTATTAGACAAAAAAAGAAAGACCTCATTTTGTCTATGACTGGATGTTTTAACATACACTCAGTCAACTTGCTGACTTGTAAAAGATTAACATGATTAATTGATGAATACTTACTTTTTATTATTATTATTATTATACAGTGAGATCAAATCAAATAATAATAAACTTTCCACTATAACATTTTAACATATGCTTAGTCAACTTGATTTGTCTTCAAAGATTAATACAATTATATAATGAATACTTACTTTTTATTATTAATTACATTGTGAGTTCAGACCAAAATAATAACAATACAGATTTCCTAATATACATTACTGCTAACTATCAACTGTGATACATATTTGCTATGTTTCAATGTTTAACTGTGTTTTTATCTGTATCATGGTATACAGATAATAAAAAGTATTTGGCTGGCACAACATGACACGTGATAGCAAACAATAATCTTTATCACACTATTTACTGTTCACAACATACAAAAATTAGTTGAAATTTTAGTTACATCAGTCGTTTATGAGACAATAACTCCTAGCATATAAAACATCTTAGCTGAAGCCAAAACAGAGAAAAAGTTCACAACTATCAAGTCATTCACGGGAAGAACATAGTGGTGTGAAAAATATTGTCATGTGCCTATACCATGACTACTTTTAGCAACAGTACATGAAACATGACAGATACAACTCTACTGAGAACCACAAACAAGAGTAATCACTACTTGAATACACCCCACATTCATGATTATCTGCTACTCATACTTGATAAACATTACTGCATTTATATAAATAAATAGCTTACAAAGTACTGATTACAGCAATTGTATATAGGCGATTAAATCAGCACTATCAAACAATTATGAATTAAATATCGCAACACCCTTATCAGTCCTGGTTCTCAACATATTGTCATAACGGATATCTGTGATAATAGCACCAAAATGCATTGGGAATATCCCATCTATCAGACAATATCTAGTCAGCAGTCATGGAAAATAAAAAAAAATCATCAATCAAATAAGGCTACGAAGCTGAGTGCTCACACCCACAATGTCTCAGCTACTACTTTCAATGCTAATCATTTAGATTTGGACATTACTTTTATAGAAAGTTCATTACAGTTGACTATTTTTGATAAAAGAAGAGAATTCAATTTCCCTGTTCTTGGTCTACCCACACCTAATAGTGTTATTCTGTGTATTATGGCTATAAAGACAGACAATTAAAGGAATACATTATTTTATTTTTTGATAAATACAAAAATATTTTAGAAACTAAACTATTGAATAAGGAAAATATCTTATAAATAAAATATAGAGGGAGTTAGTTACTTTAGCTTATAAGTAGCTAATAATACTTTTTTTAGTAATTTTATTCAGTATAACTGGGATGGAAAGACTAACTTCAAGTAGCTCGGCTTGTTTCGGCATTCCCGTGTTACACTTGAATAAATCTTCAGGAGAAAGGGAGGAGGTTGGGAGTTATAACTATATAATAACTTTTAACGTAGGGTGTACAGTTCTATTTAATATTTTATAGTTCTATTTAATGTTTTATAGTTCTATTTAATATCTTTTTCTAAGGGTGGAGGTTGGAAGCTTAATTATTGGAAATATTAGGGTGGCTTTATTTCAGTTCATTTCTACTTTAAGAAATTTAAGGGAAACTGCCTTCCCACAACTGGATTTCGACAGTGAAAGGCAGTAGAAGCTGAGACATTATGGGCATAAGCACTCAGCTTCATACCCTTATTTGACTGACGATTTTTTTTTCCCCATGATGACTGACTAGATTGACATAGGTGTTTGGATATTGTTTGATAGATGGGATATCCCCAACGCATTTGGTGCTATTACCACAGACAATATCGGTTATGACAATAAGTTGACAACCAGGACCGAT